GGGGGAAAGAGAAAGAGAGAGAGAGAGAGAGAGAGAGAGAGAGAGAGAGAGAGAGATGGATCCTACTTTCCATTTCTAACAGATGGGGGGAAGAAACCTAAGAGCACAGTTTTTATTAGTAGAAGGGAGTAAGAGTCCAGAAGCACCTTAATGACTAACAAAATTTGTGGCAGGAGCTTTTGTGAGACACTGCTCACTTCTTCAAAAACAGCTAGAATGTGAGTCCATCCGTCCTTATATCTCGGAGAATGAAGTGATTTCAGGTGCCAAATAACAATAGCAGGCATTGGTAATGAGAGAAGAAACCTAGGTCACAGTTCAGTCCGGAGGCTGCATTCTCTTGAGCTTCATTATCAGTTGCAATTCAGCAGTCTCTCATTCTAATCTCCCTTTGAAATTCCTTTGTAAGAGAACCACTACTCTTAGATCAGGAACTGAATGTCCTGGAAGGTTAAAACGTTCCCCCACTGGTTTTTGAATGTTGTGGTTTCTAGTACCAGTAGAAAGAGTAAGAGTCCAGTAGCACCTTTAAAGACTAACAAAATTTGTGGTAGAGTATGTGTTTTTGTGAGTCACTGCTTACCTCTTCAGACTTATTTCCATTTATTATTTGCATCCTTCCTGGATTGAATCCTCCTGTACCAAATTGAGACCTAGGTTTCCTATCTTATTACCAGTGCTGATATCTCTACACCTATTACCCATCTGCATATCACACCTAATCCAATCACACCTGCTGTTGCCATTCAGCATCTGAAATCATCTTTATAAAATGTATATCTCCAGTACTTTGTGTTACATTTTATGGCACACATGGCCTGACCCAACAAAGTGACATTTATGTCAAATCCAGCCATCATAACAAATGAGTTCGACACCTCTGATCTAGAGCATACCACCCTGCAAGTCACCCTAAATAGTCCTTTTATTTCTTTGAGACATGTTCGATCAGTTAAGAGCTTTACTACTAATGCCAGTGGAACTGCTTTTCAAATGCCCACCCTAAAAAAAATGCTATTTCACAGAGTCTCAACATCTCCACTCTCCAGCCCTTCTTGTGGCTTTTTTCTTGAATTCCCAAACATATGATCCAAATGCATAACCAAAACAAGCTCACTGCTTCTATTGTCGGCAAAAGGGGAAAGAGGGCATGATTGCCCTGGGCAGCTTCATATTCATGATCTTCATTGTACCTGTCAAAACTGTCACTTCCATTTAGCCTGCAGAGACAGTGTTTGACCTGCTCCAACAAGCTTATGAGTGATCTCATGGTGCTCCTTTAATGGCCATCAGCTGATATCTGCCATCAGCTCTCCCCATGTTCTGCTCCTGGCCCCATCTTATTTATTTTATTCTTTTTGTTTAATTTATATCCCGCCCTCCCTGCCAAGGCAGGCTCAGGGCAGCTAACATAGAGACATAAAACAATTAAAATAAGAGTTGAATAATCTCTCTCCCCCCCTTCACCCCTGGCCCTGTACAAGAACAACAGAATCGTTTGCTGCACATTAAGCACTAAACTTAGAATTCACCAAGTTTCTCTTTTAAGAAACAAAATTGTCATCTAGGGTGCTTCTTTTCCCTTTGCGCTCTCTCTCTCTCTCTCAAAAAAAAATGTTCTCCCTTCTGGTTCAATGCATCAGACACTGTCACTCAATTTTGATGTCTCATTGAGAAGACAATGGGGACCTTACAGCAATGAGGAAGCAATGGTCCTGCATACAATTGGCAGGAAACTGCCTTTCCTGCTTAAGCACTGTGTTGTTTTCGCTGCAAGTTGAGTGGTAAGGATTAAGGCAGACAGGTAAAAGTCAGAAGTGGAAATTCATGGTGCTCCAGAGATTCCTGGTAAGCATTGCACTCCACAAAACTTTGAGCTTGGATGCAAGCTATTGGAACAGTTTCAACAGTAAGTGTCTATCCAATGGAACAACCCTCCCCCTCTGTCCTGGATCAAACTAGTAGTGATGGGCATGAACCTAAAAATTCCGGTTCAGAGTCTTCCTTCCTTACAAATTACAACTGAGTGTGCACTGGAATTATGTTGTTTACACAATGTTTAATGGTTGTACCACTGAACCTGTACATCATATTGAAAATGTTGTTTATATTGTATATGTTAAAAATATTTTAAAAATTAAGTGATTAAAAAAAATCGGTTCAGGGTAGCCCCTGAACCAAACCCTGAACCAAGCCAAAAATGCCCCAAACTGAACCAGCCAGTTCATATCCCCCTTTCCATTGCCAGGAGAAAGGGGGGGTCACCCAGGAACGGTTAAATGGCTGGCAACCATTTAAACCTAACAGCTGATGGGCAGACCCACCCTGCTGTTGAGTTCAAATGGCTGGCAGCCATTTCACCAGTTGGTTTTGCTTCCTTGCCCTTGAGGGGAAACAAAACCAACCGGTGACCTAACAGGGCAGTTGTGAACCTGTGCTGCTCAGCTGTTAGGTTTAAATGGTCCAAACAGCCAAACTAGACAAAAGTCCAGTAGATGTTTGAGGAAGGTGCATTCCCCAAACATCGGTTCAGGGGCTTCAAACCGGGCCAGGTTCGTGCCGAATTTTGGCTCATGAATCAGTTTATGCCCATCCCTATAAACTAGGCTTCACTACAAATACACAAAGATTTCTGATATCTCACATAGTGGCATGGTACAACAACATGATGGTATAACATGAGGTTCCAGATAACCCCATGTATGCACAGTGACACCTAGCACTGATTCCTGACTTTCTGAAACCTGATAAACCCACCAAGATACTTTCGTAAAACATATGGGTTTTGTTATGGAGGGCAAATGCATCCAACTAGAGTATACAAATCTGGTACAGATTCTAGGCAAGCCACTTCTGGATACACGATAGCCATCATCTGCTTGAATCTTAACAAGATATCAAAAATCTAGTAGAAAAGAGTACTGCATTGCATGATTAAACCTCAGAACTAGCCAGGCATGTTCAGCATCAAAGGGCAGTAGTGAAAAGCAGCCTCCCCCTAGTGGAAATACATATTGCTTAAGGTCCAGATCATGTTGCTTCATTTCTTCTTCTAGTGTTGAGACACTGCATCCAGTACTGATGGAGTCCCTACCACAGAACCACTGTGTAAGCCTTTTCTGCTATCATCCCTGTCCTCTTAGTTAACTAAATGTAGCAGTGATGGAAAGGATTTGT